TTTTGTATTTTTAGTAGAGACGGGGTTTCACCATGTTGGCCAGGCTGGTCTTGAACTCCTGAGCTCAAGCGATTCCCCCACCCCCAGCCTCTGCTTCCCACAGTGCTGGGGTGTTACAGGCCGGGGCCGCCTGGCCCTGTCTCTGTGTTACAATATCTTTTTTTAAAAGGTCTTTTGGTTATTCTTCACAGCTGTTGCCACTGGGCGGTGGGAACGCCGGGTGAGAAGAGCGGAGCCCAGATGCTAGCAGTGCCCTGGCCCTAGCGGCTCGACCAGTTTGAACTCCGAAAACCAGCGAATGCCACAGATCAGGGATGGAGCAGTTGTTTTGTTGATTGGTTAAACTGAAGAAAGTGGTAGAGAAAATGTTGATGAAGATTACTCTTAAAACGGTGTCATGTCTCAGATGAATAAGTAGAAGAAGAAGAAAAGAACCCCCCCCAAAAAACTGTCATGTCCACACCCATTGCATGGCGAATAGCACATACAAGTTAAGAGAATATTTCCTACACTATTTAAAAGTTAGTATCGGATTCAGCAAAGACAAGTCACAGACTAATGGGTGAAGTTATGACAAGCGGGGCTGGTGCTGAAAGAAGTTTTTTGTTTGTTCGTTTTGAGACAGAGTCTCACTCTGTTGCCAGGCTGGAGTGCAGTGGCTCGATCTTGGCTCATGGCAACTTCTGCCTCCCGGGTTCAAGCAATTCTCCTGCCTCAGCCTCCCGAGTAGCTGGGATTACAGGCACGTGCCACCACGCCTGGCTACTTTTTTTGTAGTTTTAGTAGAGATGGGGCTTCACTGTGTTGGCCAAGATGGTCTCGATCTCTTGACCTCGTGATCCGCCCACCTCTACCTCTCAAAGTGCTGGGATTACAGGCGTGAGCCACCACACCTGGCCAGAAGTTTAATAATTGTAATTTGAGGGTAAAAAATAGTTGAACAGTGGATGATGTATCAAATTTAATATGAGAAGAGTGGAAGGTACTTCAAGTTGTGAACTCATGATTGAACCCTAAACATTAGTTGGCTGAAATGAAAATGTTTGTTCACCACAGAAACCTGCGTCTAAACGTTTATAGCAGCTTTATTTATAATAGCCCCAAACTTGAAACAACCCAAATGACTCTGACCCAAACTGTCTGTAGCTTTCTGTAGGATATGTGGCACTTTTCTGTATACAGAAAATGCATCTTGATGCATCTTGAGTCTTTAGTTTTATATGGGAAAAATCCAACTTAACATCTGGCTTAACCAAGATGACAAACCACTAGGAGGATTTATTTACAACATCAGAGAACAATGGATTCATATTCAGAAAGAAAAAAGAAATGCTTGTAAATTGATAAGAAAAGACATGATAGACAAATGTGCAAAAGTTAAGAATAGGCAACTCCCGGCCTGGCCAACATGGTAAAACCCCGTCTCTACTAAAAATACAAAAATAGATGGGCCTTGTGGCACATGCCTGTAGTCCCAGCTACTCAGGAGGCTGATGCGAGAGAATTGCTTGAACCCAGGAGGCCAAAATCCCACCACTGCACTCCAGCCTGGGCAATTTTTAGAAGGAGGAATTGGCAGTTTTTAGGAGAAACCCCAAATACCGGAGAAGTATGCACAGAGATGCTTAAATTCATTAGTAACCTGAAAAATCCAAACTAAAGTAACAAGATGCCTCATTACACCTATCAGATTGCAAAATTAGAAAGCCAAAGGTTTTTTCATTTTAAAATGTTATCCAATTGTTCCTACATTATTTGTCGAAATTATTGCCCTTTCTGGACTTTTCTATCCTGACTTACTCATCTATCTTTATGCCAATACCAGACTGTCTTAGTTACTGTCGCTTTCTAAAATAAGTCTTGAAATCATGTAGTATTAATTCTCTGACTTTGTTTTTTTGAAAAGTTATTTGGGCCAGGCACGGTGGCTCACGCCTGTAATCCCAGCACTTTGGGAGGCCGAGGCGGGTGGATCATGAGGTCAGGAGATCAAGACCACCCCGGCCATGGTGAAACCCCATCTCTTCTAAAATACAAAAAATTAGCTGGGTGTGGTGGCACACACCTGTAGTCCCAGCTACTCAGGAGGCTGAGGCAGGGGAATTGCTTGAATCTGGGAGACTGAGGTTACAGTGAGCCGAGATTGTGCCACTGCACTCCAGCCTGACGAAAGAGCAAGACTCCATCTCAAAAAAAAAAAAAAAAGAAAAGAAAAGTTGTTATTTGGGCTATTTTAGGTCCTCTGTATTTCCATATATATATTTTTTTTGAGACAGGGTCTTGTTCTGTCATTCAGACTGGAGTGCAGTGGTACAATCTCAGCTCACTGCAACCTCTGCCTCCCGGGTTCAAGTGATTCTCCTGCCTCAGCTTCCCAAGTAGCTCAGATTACAAGTGCATAACACCATGCCTGGCTAATTTTTGTATTTTTAGTAGAGATGGGTTTCTCCATTTTGGCCACGCTGGTCTCGAACTCCTGACCTCAAATGATACACCCGCCTCAGCCTCCTAAAGTGTGAGGATTACAGGCATGAACCACTGCACCCAGCCTGAATTTCTATATAAATTTTAGAATCCTTTTTCAATTTCTACCAAAAAAAAAAAAAAAAAGCTTCTGGCATTTTGATTGGAATTGTATTGAATCTTTAGGTCAATTGAGGGAGAATTGGTAGTTTCTGTCTAGTGAACATAGCGTGTATTTCTCTCTGTTTATTTGGGTCTTTAAATTCTCTCAGCTGGGCTCAAGGCTGTAATCCCAGCACTTTGGGAGGCCGAGGGGGGTGGATCACTTGAGCCCAGGTGCTGGAGACCAGCCTGGGAAACATGGCGAAACCCTGTCTCTACAAAAATTACAAAAGGTTGGGCTGGTGGTGCACCTGTAGTCCCAGCTACTTAGGAGGTTGAGGTGGGAATATCACTTAAGCTCAGGAGTTCAAGACCAGCCTGGGCAACACAGTGAGCCCCTGTCTCTAAAATAAATAAGTTTTCTCAGCCCCATTTTGCAGTTTTCAATGTACGGGTCTTGCACATCTTTTGTCAGATTTGCCTCCAAGTATTGCATAACCTTGATGTGATTGTAATGGGTGTTGTTTAAAATTTTTAATTTCCCAGTGTTTGTTGCCAGTATATAGAAATACAACAGATTTTTGTGTATTGATTTTGCATCCGGCAGTTTTGCTAAAGTCATGTATTTGTTCCAGTAGCTTTTTCATACATTGTATTAGTTTTCTGCAAAGACAATCACACCATTTGTGAAGATAGTTTTATCGTTTTTCTAATTTATTTGCCTGACTCTGCAACATAAACAGTCCTTATTTAGGCCGGGTGCGGTGGCTCACGCCTGTAATCCCAGCACTTTGGGAGGCTGAGGCGGGCGGATCACGAGGTCCAGAGATCGAGACCATCCTGGCCAACATGGTGAAACCGTATCTCTAAAAAAAAGAAAAAAAAGAGTCCTTATTTTGGCTGGGCATGGTGGCTCATGCTTGTAATCCCAGCACTTTGTGAGGCTGAGGTGGGCAGATCACTTGAGGTCAGGAGTTTGAGACCAGCCTGGCCAACATGGTGAAACCCCATCTTTACTAAAAATACAAAAAATAAGCTGGGCATGGTGGCAGGCGCTTGTAATCCCAGCTACCCAGGAGGCTGAGGCTGGAGAATAGCTTGAACCCAGGAGGTGGAGGTTGCAGTAAGCAGAGATCGTGCCACTGCACTTTCACTCCTGGGAAACAGGAGTGAAACTCCATTTCAAAATCGAGATCAGCCTGACCAACATGGTAAAACACCATCTCTACTAAAAAATACAACAATTAGCTGGGCACGGTGGCGGGTGCCTGGTATCCCAGCTACTTGGGAAACTGAGGCAGGGGAATCACTTGAACCGGGGAGGCAAAGGTTGGATTGAGTCGAGATCGCTCCAT